AATTTATGTTGTTGAATATGTCTAAACCAATTTTGCCCTAAATGAAAGTTACAACACGTAATTTTGCAGTAAGGGAAAATTTGCAATACTGCATTATGCACAGATTTTTCAAAGTTGACATGAAAATAGCTTAAATTTATTATATTACCAGTAATTTGAATACATATATTTTGTAATGTTTTCCACATATTGATGTAAGTATCAGTATGTTTGTTACTTAAAAAACAAAACGCCACAGGAACATAAAAATTGTTTTTAAATACGTGAACAGTATAAAGTTGAACAAAATATTTCGGAGCAAATGAAAATGTCCCATCCCCTAAAACGTGTTCTGCACTTTGTAGCAATTCTAAATTTTGTTTACATATAAATATAAATATATTTTCATCATCACTAACGAAAGAAAATTTATTACCTTTGTAAGTAAGATTATGCTGATCATCAACTAATTGTTTTTTAGCATCTTCTAAAGATCTCGGTATGTTTGGAAAGGATTTTTTTCGTTTTTCATACATGGATCTTCGAATTAATTTCATATCACTATATTGAAGATGTTCGAAGTTATCATTGTTTTTCAATTCCCGGCGTATTAGTTTATTTGGTGTAATATGTAAATCCTCTTCAGCTCTACGTTTCGATTTGCTTCTTACTACTTCTCGATGAATTGTTCGGTCGTCGTACTCGTCATGGGTATGCGTGTTTGTCATTTTTAAAATTTTATATGATTCATTAACTAACCTAACTACAGCACTTACGGAACATTTTTTATTTGTACACCTAAAATGTTTATCGCCAAATTTTAAAGTTCGGAATTCTCTAAATTTATAACTTTCTATGTTTAAACATTTTTTTCCTCGACGCGTTTCAAAAACATCACAAATTTCGATATCCATAATCAATACAGTTAGTAGTTATAGTACAGCTTTCTGGCAAATGACTGTTTAAAAGTATTACGCTTTCCTAATACACGACGATTATTTTAAATCATTATATATTGATATTGATATGCTGGTAATTTGTGCTGATAATTTGTACCGATAATTCAATTACTTTAGGTAAGTCTAAATTTAAAAATATAAAATACATGTTACTTAGTGATTATGTTGTGCGCAAACGAGTCGTCCGTTTACAGGTAAACGACTGATTTCGTTGTGCGCAAACGAGTCATCGATATCCAGGTAAAAAATTTAAATTGTGCGCAAACGAGTTGCACCGCGCAAACGAGTCGTCGATTTTTAGGTAAAAATTTTGAATGTGCGCAAACGAGTTGCAGCGGAACCCGTACACTTCGTAGCCCGTTAAAAATCTTCTTATATGTCCCAAACTGTGAGTTAAATTCGTTACCTGTGATTATGCTAGCAGTATATTGTTATACAAAAAACAAAATATTAATAAAAACTTTTAATGTCATAGACACACGTGCTAGGGTAACAAATAATAAAAAAAAAAAAATAATTACAAATTCAGGGATAATAATTTCTTTCGAACTAATTATTATTATTATTGAAACTAATAGCAACTATCTATAAAAAAAAATGTGCATTGTAATTCTCAAAATCTCTGATCGAGCACTTTCCGGGGTTGAGCCTATCTTCTGTACATAAATCTAATATATCTCTGTACCATTTATACCATATTGTATCATACAAATTTCATCGCAATCGGTTCAGCTGTTTAAGAATGCATAAAGGACAAACAGATATAAATTTGTTTATATATATATATATATGATGATTATTATTATTATTATTATATATATTATATATTTATATTAAAATAAACCATTCTCCTCGTTTATTTATTTTTACTAACGGGCGGTGCTCCGATAGTATATATTACAGTTTCAATATCTAATAAAAATATAATACAATATTGGATGCATTGGACGATTTAGTATATTATTAAAATTCGCAATTCTTAAACATCTAAATAAGTAAATCGCTGTTAACGGTTTAATAATTAACACCAAAAAAAAAATATTACCGGATACGTGTGTGTTAAATAATTGTTAATTATTATTGTTTTACTACATGCACGACCATCATCCGTTTTAATAGTTACTAATATTTTAATTTTAAAACTGATTAGCAATATTTAACTTAACTGTGTTAAATTAGATCACGTGACTTGTTACTATGCACTTTGATTGAGAGCAAAGCAGTTTTTTTCTTTAATTGTATATTCAAATTTTTCTGATAGGAAATTATTGTATAAATTCTGTAAGTAACTCAAATGTTTTACGTAGGAATAATAACAAAAAACTTTATACCCAAATTGTATCCCAATAAACGTTTTTATAATAAAAAATTAACAAATGATTATTAATTTTCAGATTTTTAAACCATACAATTTCATAGCACACGTGTAGATATTAATTATACTTTGACATAAATGAGCTTGTGTAATATTTAAAAACAATTAAATGTACAAATAAACATTGTAAATAATTTACGTTTTAATATAAAAAAAAAAAAAAAAAACAATACTGGTCATTAATCATAAAAAATGATCAACTCTGTAGTAATTTAAATTTGAAATGAGCATTAAACAAAAAGGACGCTGCTTCCGAGTGATATTTCTTTGTTGCGTTAGTGTTTATTTGTATATATCTAAGTGAATGATAAATTATCGCAATTGAAAAAAAAAAATGTTTAGCTTTGTAAAATAAATAATATAATTTACACTTATATATATAAATATTTTTGCTACAACAATTATTACTACCTGAAAGTTTGATCATCAAAATTATGTACAAAATAATTGTTAACATATACTTGTATGAAAACGATCCACTTCATCTTGGTCCACCTGTATAATTTGAATACGTAAATAAAAAAAGAGTGACTGACTAAAAATCATCCAATTATTAAACATTTTTTTTAAATAGTATATAGTTGGTCTCCCATGAAATTGTCATACAAAATACATACGCTTTGAGGAAAACTTTGAATATTATATCCAAGTTTTTCTCATTAGCCTGTTAGTAGTAATGAAAAAATAAAAACTTTTGCGCAGTTAAAAAAAATATATTTTTAAAGTGACTTTATTAAAACCTTATAAAACCCTCACATAATTCCAATATAGTTTTCCTAATATTTATTCTAAAATTATTTAAAAATGACAAATTCTTTAGATGTAACTTATAGTTTAGATTTATTATTTCTAAATGTTTGGTTTATTAGTAAAATTATAAAAACCATCATTGTTGATAACAGGGGTGTCATTTGGGGTGGGGCAGGATGTGTAATGGCACCTCTAACTTAAAAAATGTTGAAAATTGACCCATCATTAATACTCCAATGCCCCGTTATAATAAACTTCTGTATTATATTTTCATATATATAATAGTACCTATATATCTTTTTTAAGTTTTTTTTTCAATTTTTGGTTTATCAGCTTTCTTATCAAATGTGTACGTCGCACAGTGGGAGGAATTGCATTTCTAGCTGGCCAAAAATAGAAAATTTATGTATGGTGATTAACGATTACAACCAGGAATATTTGTTGCCAATGATATGACGCAACGCGTCGCGTGGAGTTGATTTAAGCGTGTTGGTGAGGTACACTACACTCGTTGGTGTCTCCAAGCCTTCACGCGCTCGACAACGACGTGTTGTGGAATCAATTCATGTGTGCGAATTACAGCGATTTCGTCTCTCAACTGTTGTAACTTGTAACGTGTGTATTTGTATTTCGTTTCGTGTGCGAACCTTTTTGTATAACAACAATAACATCTTACAAATACAATGAATTTTATTGCAATTTTGTTGATTTTACTCGTTAATAAAAGCTATTTTAACTATTTTTTAATTTTTTTCACATAATTTCACTTTTTTTATACTTTTCAAACGGTTTTATAAAAATGTCATGAAATAAAACGGTTAAATTATTATTTTTAAATTATTTTAAGGCTGAAGAACATGATGTATTGATGTCTATTGTTTATATATATATATATATATATATATAATTGCTTATTGATATTATTGTATGTATGGTCAAAACGATTGAAAAATTGATTATTTTTAAAATAATATCGGTTTCGTCATACTGCGATTATCTTAGTGCAATACTGCAATTAATTTCACTACTTTTTTACTACTACAACATCCATGCCCAATTTATTAATAGGTATCACAAAACATTTTTATTACCAATCGTTAAAGAAAAACCGTAGAGCAGTAGAATTAATGAAAATATTAAAAAAAAAAAAAACGCCACATTATGATCAAAAGTGAAAATTGTTAATTTTGGATAAAAAAAAAATGTGAATACTTGGTAACACTGTAATATTGTAATATTAATATATAACACAATATACTTATATATATAAGGCAAAGTTAGGTATTTTCGTGACATAGGCAATTTTATGATACTATTTGTTGAACATATCATGTGATTGCCTATTACACAATTGACTAGAAAATTACATTGATTCTCAAAAACAGTAATTTTAAGGATCATTGTAATTTTCAAATCAATCGTATAATAGGGAATTATATTATGCGTTCAACAAATAATATCACGAAATTACCTAGGCCACGAAAATACCTCACTTCACCCTATAAGTATATTATGTATTGTAATATAATAACTAATATTGTAGAAAAAAAAAGTTTAGAGTTTAAGAAGAAAAAAAAACATGACAAATCATATAAATATATATATTATATCATATATGATATAATATATCATATTATTAAATAATAATTTATTTAATAAAACACTAATTTTAACAATATAAAAACATAAAATATCTTCACAGAAAAAAGGTGATGTAAAAATTATGAAAATATAAATATGTTATAAAAATGGTAAAAAAAAAGAAAAACTCTGTGAAGAGAAAAAAACCAAAAAAATGGACAAATTAAATTAGGCAGTTGATAAAAGTAGTACTATACAAAACAAGGTATAAATGGAAAAAATGTATAAAAAAATTTAAAAAATTTATAAAAATGTATAAAAATATATAATATGAGAATTTTCTAGATCACGATGACTTCTATCTACTGCCAATTAAATATGCGATTAAAAATGCGATTAAGCATATGGTCTCTGTGGTGTTATTACCGACTTCGGATTTAATAGCACTTTGGAGACGGTCGGTTCGATCTCCACGCGCCCAAAACCTATGGTCTCTCGACAATTCCACGGTCTGAGACATGTGAATGGTTTTGGGCACGTGACGAACCACAACGGGGGCGATCTCACGCGCCATCTCGAGAATGCTGGGTAGACCACCTTTCTGGTGGCTACACAAATCTTCGGCACTGAACCGTCGGTTTCGATCCCATGCCGGGGCCACCAGAGGCATGGGTCCCGATGTCCTTGGGCAACGATCAGCGGTTTCGGCGGCTTCAACGAGGCGGACTCATTGGAGGGGCCTGATGGCAACGTACTAGGGAAACTGAAGGTGGAAACGGTCTCTTCCGCCTCAGTCACGACCGCTTCCTCCTCGGACTCATCTTCAACATTGGTACGCGTCATATGGTCCCTTACGGTTCTGAGCCAGTGCTTTAATGTTCCTACTTCCCGAGGCGGGTTAGTCAAAACGTCATGCTAGATGAGAAACATACCCAGCCTTACAAATGAGGCTGGGAAAGACAACATATATATATATTTTTTATATCTCAATAAGGGTTAATCGTGAGAGATTGTCTCGTAACTTTATTACGAAATATATTTATAATATATTATGATAATTTATTGAGGAATTTATTAAGTACACAGGTTTACACAGTCGACCTCACTCACTTTGATTTATAAATGATAATATACTTCGTCTCGTTAAATACTAACAATGTTAGTCTAACATAAATAATAAAAATATAATATCAAATAAAATTATAATAAATAATAATATAAATAATTTAAAATAAATTCTTATTGTAAATAAACTATTCAGATTGTATTTTTTCAAAAAAAAAAAAAACTAATTAAATTATATTATAGCTTTAACTATTTATGAATAATCACAGAATATTTTATGCTGTAATAATATAGTAAATAATATGTTATTTTTAAATAAAAAATATAAACCAATTGCTACTTGAAAAATCAACATTATCCGTTATCAGAGTATAGTCATATGTGTGCCCGGGAATCCTCCAAAATATAGTAAACAGGGCCTCTAAAATGTATGTCTAAAAATGAAGGTTTCATATTTTAAATGATGTTGCATAGATTAAATGTAATTTATTCTAATATATTAGACAAAAATAAATCATGTTTCATATAATAAAAACTAAACCTAAATTTTCGTGTAAAATCTTATTATGATAACACATCAGCTAAAATTGACTACAAAAGTACAAATCGTGAATAATTATAGCTGTCTAAGAAAAATATACTAGATTCAAGTAAAACATATTCATGAGACTAATAACCACAATATTAATTAAAAAAATTAATTTATGTTTATTTAATTATTTATACATTATAATTAATTAAATATACCTACATGTTTTGTTATTATAAAGCCTAAAAGTATAATAGACATTCCCTTAAATAAAGGTGTATCTACACGCTTATGGGTATAGTATATTAGAATGAAACAAGTTATAGGAAAAAAATTGTACCTGGCAATTATCAATAGTTTATTTAAGAATAAGGTGTATAAAACTTAAGTAATTTTTTCAAAAATTACAAAAATAATTGTTTATTTTCATCTGACCCAAAATCTTCCTAAAGTTTTAAAAATTGACCCTTAATACATCCTAAAATTTTCTTAAAAATTATATTTTATTAAATATTTAATAATCTAGGCTTAAAAAGGTTGGAAAAAGATTAAGAGACCTTACCTGGTAGAAATATCTGCTCAACAGATGTCTGCATATACTATCTCCAATGACTGGTGAATCCAATATTTCAAAAGTCGACAAATCGACCACTGATCATATCATACTATATCACGGATATGGGGAAAATAGTTAACTGACAAATTAAAATCGCTTACACTTGAAACTTTTAAGTGTTAATAGCTTCAGGAAATATTAAAAGGAGACTGTATGTGCTTATTCTTGACTCCGTTGTTGACGTGACAAATATTTCGTACGAGCTTTTGTTAGTTGAACAATTTAATTTAAAATGTCATAACAACGTGTTATAATTAATATCCAATAAAATTTATTGAGTGAGTTATGTAACTTTTTTCAATGTTTTCAATGTACCAACCAAAAGCTAAAAGATTTTTATTTTAAATGCGAAGGAATAAAATCTTCCAAAAATTAATGTCATTTACCAACAAATAAATCTTCTAATGAGAACCGTATATAAGTGTTTATGATAATGTTGATACCCAGTATGTTATACATATATATAAATGAAATTTGTTACAAAGTGTCGACATAAAATATGTAATTCGTTCAGTTTAATGCCCAGGAATTTTCAATGAGAGATTAGGAATGTTAAAAGTTATAATGTTATTAAAAGATTGTGATTTGAAGCTAAAAACTTTACTAGGAGACTTTAATGGTTAGGGCATTCAAATTGCTTGTAACTCATAAAATTAATGTTTATAAAAGTTTTGATAAATCATAGTTGTATGATGAATACATTTAAAAAAAAAAAAAAAGATAATTGAATCTTATCCCTTAACCTCCCCTTCTTCTGAACCAGGGGCGTCATTTGGGGTGAGGTAGGATATGCAATGACACCTCTAGCTTAGAATTTTTTGGCAATTGGCCTGCCATTAATACTCCAATGTACCGTAATAATAAACTTAGGTATTATATTTTCATATATTATAAATAAAATAAAATATATATTTAATAGTACCTATATATTTTTTTTCAAGCTTTTTGTTGAGTTTTTTGGTTTATCAGGTTTCTTATCAAATGTGTACGACAAGTGTAGTTGATTTACGCGTGTTGGCGAGGTACACTACACTCATCGGTGTCTCCATAGCCATTAACCATCTATCGTCAATCTATGGTGCCTTCAATCCTCCACGCGTTCGTCAACGATGTGTTGTGGAATCAATTAATTTATGCGAATTACTGCGATTTCGTCTCTCAACTGTTGTAACTTGTAACGTGTGTATTCGTATTTCGTTTCGTGTGCGAACCTTTTTTGTATAACTATAATAAGATCTTAGAAATAAACCACAAAAAAAAAAAGCAGTGCTGCTCGTCTACAAGAAAGCAAAAAAAAAAAAATGACTACTTGTAGCCGGTTTTTTTTGTCATAATTAATCAGCATGCTTAAGAAAGCTGAAATTAATCAAATGGAAATAACTGTAAGCTTTAATTTAATAAGAATACATCTACCTATATATTAATTTATAATGTAACTTGTGTAGTTGTACGGCAGTTAACGGTTGTACACCAGAACCGACGATCGAATGGGCTATCGCTTATACGCACGGACGGCGTCCGACAAAGAACCCGATCGTAAAATAATTAAATCGTCGTATGGAAAGAAACCTGAGAGAGTGAGAAAAAGAGTGAACCGTATGGTTAGGTTTGGAAGTGATGTGGAGGAAGGTGGGGTAACCAACTAGAGTAATAAATAATAAATATAACAAGTGCAAATTATATTAGATGATTGTAAAACAGAAGACAATATATATCATGAACTTATAGACTCAGTGAGTCGACCACATGCGGTCGCCCGTAATAATAATAATTATTAATAACAAAAGAATAACAATAATAAATAACAAATTGATAAAGGTGTACGACCTGGTAATACCAACGCAAAATTGAAGTTGGATAACGATATGGTCGATAGCCAACCTGTCGCAACAGTCGGAAGGTTCCTTGCCGCGTATGTAGAGGGCGCCGCTGTCACATGTGAACGAAAAATGTTGATTCGGCACCCGGCGATGACATCACAAGGACACAAACCGAAATACGGGAATTCCCAACCGTTCGGATGACGAGATTAATGGCGCACACGACGTCGGCGAACAAAAAAACACTCGCGGAACGATAATAAAAAAAAAAACAACTGTGCGACAATGGCTAACAGAAGCGCGACGATGGCGATCGGAAACTTCACAATGGCAACGAGAGCACGATACGTAAAAGGTTTTCTGAAGTCTCTCGATGATGAGAACGGAGTGGATGAGACGACGACGGTCAAAACCACGTGGCGCGGAGTGCTATGGGCGGCGAAATATATAACAAAAAACACTAACGATGGAGTGGCGTACTGTGTAAATGACGTCGGCAATTGTCAGTGTTAACGGTGGCGACGCATCGGTACAAACAATGGCGGATATGCGGATATTTGGCCTAGACGGCTACGTAAAACACATGAACACAAGCACACGACGGTGATGATGAACGTGCAGACGACCGACCGGTCCTGGAAGCGAGCAGCAGGCTAGCCATCGGAAAACAGCACAGCTAACTACCCCCTCTCAAGAAATCGATCATGTTATCGACCAAGTTTGCAGGAGGCCAATATGCCGCGATCCTCACACGAAATTTGTACCCAACAGTAGTAATTTAAAGACTCACTATAATTTAGTAAAACTATCTTAAATGCAAGTAAAATCCGTAGATATATGATAATTTAAAATAATTAATAATTAATAATTTGATATTTTTTATCATTGATATTTAATTTGAGAATTAAAATGTTTTTCATTATATCTTTTGCCTTTTTTTCAAATAATAGTGAAATGGCTTTATTTAGTTGTTTCACTTTAATCGCTTAAAAGCTTTTAATTCTATGAGCTGCTGGCTATTTAAAAGTTGCATTAGTCGTAATGAGTAATTTTAATTAGAATTATAATAGGGAAGGAAAAAATATTTACATATATTTTCTTAGTTTACCTACATTTATATAATTTTTTTTTTTTTTTTATGGCCTGTTGAAATATCAGAATTTACTAGCCTCGAATTTCGCACATCTGGAAAAAAAATTGAAATGACGCCCCTGATTGATAAGCTCAGTACTTTTAGAATAAAATAAGTTACATTTTTTAAATTATTTTTTATAAACATTTTCATAGGAATGATTTGTATTAAATGTTAGGTCTTAAATATAAAAATGCAAATTTAATAATATTTGGTTTACAAAATATTAACCATAGATAATGTTAGCTACATAATTTATCAAGTTTGAAATAATATATGAACCCTTTAAATAAAATATAATTAGACTTTTTAATGCGTACTTAGATACTCAGAGAAACTATAGATATAATTTTAAAAATAAATCATACGAGCTAGGGATGAATACACGAAAATTATTTTAATTAGGTTGTTACAATAAGTAAGTATTATTAAACTCATCTAGTTTGAACAAAAAAGTATGAATATAAAAACAAAGAACATAAAACATGGTTTCATCTCAATAGAAATAATAATTAATACATTGTGAAGAAAAAAATGTATCGAACTACCTATTAGAGCGTGATAAATTAGAGACCCTGTCAAGATTATTATGGTTACTTGCACATGTCAAATCGATGTTGATGTTTAACTAAAAACACCACATTAAAATAAAATCAAAATGTGAAATACAAATTATTTTAGTTACGCGAAATTTTTGTAGTATAGGTACTTTTTATTGTTACATTTTTCGCCTTTGTAAAATACTATTGTCGTGGTTATTATTGTATAGAAAAATGTAAATTTTTTGCATTTTTAATTGAAAGACATACACACACACACACACACATCTATATGCGAGCAACTATGCATATATTATTACATATTATGTTTGGTATTCAACACAGTGGGTGTATAACAAAATTGCAGTTATGTCCGGCCAAATGAATTATGTGTCTTTTTATAATTTATTTGTGTATAAAATGTGCATAATTTATTACAATAATTATTGTTCTAAAATAGTATTCGTGTGATTCGTTTTCAGTTTATCACTGTATTCAATGCGCATTGTGTATAAGTGGTATAATACTATGATGATAACATTACTTCTAAAGATTTATGGCCCACTTGATTCACCGAATTGTTGATGAAATTACCTCGTCGTTTGAGAACAAAAACTTTTTCCGTGATTATTCATAGACGTATCATAATATTTTTATCACACCAGATTGCTCTTTAAATTAAAAAATTCCTCTCAGCTCAACTCTACTTATTCACCAATCGTATCTACAAACTACTTATTTCTTGTCCATCAAAGAAATTTTCTCTTATCGAAATTCCAAATCCTAGCAGGAGTACCTCAAGATAATGACTCATCACAAAATACCCTCAAAATTTACCCAAATGACATTCTCAACTTTGAAATTACATTGATACTTACTCTATTTTATGGAAATTATCTCATCATATTCCGACTCCTCAACAACATACAAAAAACTTCCCAATCTATCTTGATAATATTTCAAAATGGTCTTCTAAGTAGAGAATCAAAATCAATTTAGATAAGTCTTTTCACATTCTTTTCACTTTAAAAAAAAAAGGTGTCACATCAGGAATCTACTTTCAAAACAACCAAATCCCAACTAAAAAATCAAACTAAATATTTGAGTCTATAGTAATCTTAGATAAGCGTCTAACTCGGGGTCCACTCCTAAAAATAAAAACCAATTGTTAAGCTATCAAATGTTTTTATTGTATATAAATATATATTATAATTATACTTTCATTTAAATAAAAAAAAAAAAGATTTCAGGCTGTCTCAAACGTCAAGTGAATTTTTGGTAATAAAACTGTTAAAAATTCTATTGTACTTCAATTTTAATGAATCCATATTAGTCGCAAATGAAAATACTCCCACAAATTTATATTAACTATGTAATTTTGTTATTCAAAAATGTATTCCTTTAAATATATAGTTTAATGAAAATAATCTCCAATTCTTTTTCCCCGTAAAACAACAGCTACGCAAAACGTAAGTAATTATTTCCATGTATAAGTTAGTAAGTATGTATGCACTCATGTGTTCCTACGTACATTATAAAATATACATATATTTTAGTGTACAATATGCAACATTTTTAAATTTACACTTACTGTTTTTACTGTTAATTTTTTTCTTTTCTCCCTTTTTTAATTTTTTTTTATGTATTGTATGAATTTTTATACTTATTTAAATATAACTTCAGTTATTTTATCACTTAAATTATTTGAGGTATTTTCGTAGACAGCTTAATACTTGAGTAGATAAATTGTATTATAAA